GGGGAGGTGTATGGGTGTGGATAGGGAGGGTGTGGTGGGGAGGGGAGTGGTGGGGGATGGTGGATGGTGGAAGGGGTGTGGTGGGGGTGACTGTGCAGGGAGAGGGGAATGATGGGAGGGGATATATAGAGGGGGAGGGTGGGGATGATGGATTAAATTAGTACATGAAGAAAGGTCAGCCAGTCCAACAAGCACCCAGCACCATGGTGACAACAGCACTGGGATGAGATTCTCCATAACCCAGCCACACCGCATCACCATGGAAACCCCTGGAATATGACCAAACTGGCCTGCCACTCAATATGATCATGTTGGGTTCTCTTTCTCAATGCCATGTTCCCATTTCTCCTCATACCCTTTAAAAAGGTACCTATCTTTATCATGAATATATTCAGTGACTAGCCCACCATAGCCTTCTGTGGTAGAGAATTCCACTGGTTCACAATCCTCTCAGTGAAAAAAAAATCACACTTCGTCTAATCTTCTCCCATCATTATAACAATCAGGTAAAATGATGTACTTTTGGAAAATTCATCCACGGGATGAGGGCGTCGCTGGCTAGGCAGCATTTATTGTCCATCCCTAATTGCTCAGAGGGCAGTTCAGAGTCAACCACGTTGCTGTGGGTCTGGAGTTACATGTAGGCCAGACCAGATAAGGATGGCAGTTTCCTTCCCTAAAGGACATTAGTGAACCAGATGGGTTTTTACCCAACAATTGATATGTTGTGCCCCGCTCCCGCCCTCAATAACAGTTATTGGCTTGGCACAAAGAGGAAAAGAGTCAAAATTGTATTAACAAATAAGTGCTTTTATTGGTTGATTAAAACAGACATACAACTTGGTTAAGAAAGGGTTAAAATCAGGCATGCAATTCATACAATACTAAAATCTATGCACACACCCACTGGGTTTCTCAGACGTCCCCTGAACAGACTCAGAAATGAAAGGCTAATACTGGAGAATTGGAGCTCATGCTGGCCAGGCCATTCCCCAGGTACTCAGCGTAACCTTCATGCTTCCAAGCATAGGCTCCTCCAATTCAGGAAAGGTTGATCTCCAGAGATTGTGCTGTTGTCACACCTATTTTTATCCTTATCTTCCCAAACTGTGATGTCTTACTTCTCATTGGTTCTGGTTCATCTGGTGAGCCTGTATTTTCCCGTTGTAGGCTCCCTTCAAGGACACGGTTAGCATTACCTCATTGATGTTCCATTCAAATAAGGAATTATACCTTATATCATTCCTCTGAGCTGGCCCAGTTCAAACTGGTTTCAGACAGCACAAGACAGTGGCTGGGGATCGGGTAAGTTGAGTTCACAAGCTGCTGTTTATACCATATGAGCAATCCTTGGCTGACAATGGTCATCATTGGACTGTCAATCCCAAATTTTTATTGAATTCAAATTCTACCATCTGCCATGGCAGGATTCGAACCCAGGTCCCCAGAACATTACTTGGGGTCTCTGGATTAACAGTCAAGCAATAATACCATGAGGCCTGCTTTTAACCCTTTCTTAACCAAATTGTATGTCTGTTTTAATGAGCCAATAAAGCCAATTATTTGTTGATACAGACTTGACTCTTCTTACTGAACCCTTTACTCTGACCTCTTCAAGATTGGAAAGGGTGGGGAGCAGGGGAGGGAATTGATAGGGTAGGAATAGAGTGGTCCCCTCTTTTAGGGAAACTGGGGTTGGGTGCTCCATCCAGGAGCCACAAACATAAGAAATTGATCCAGTCGGGAATTCAGGAGAAACCTCTTTATCCCGAGAGTGCTGAGAACGTGGAACACATTCCCACAGGGAGTGGCTGAGGTGAATAACAAAGTTCAATTGGATTGAAAGCTGGATAAAGGCACAGCAGGGATATGCTAACAGGGTGAGATACAGGGATAGTAGGAACTGCCGATGCTGGAGAATCTGAGATAACACAGCAGGCCAAGCAGCATCAGAGGAGCAGGAAAGCTGACCTTTCGGGCCTAGACCCTTCTTCAGAAATGGGGGAGGGGAAGGGGGTTCTGAAATAAATAGGGAGAGAGGGGGAGGCAGATAGAAGATGGATAGAGGAGAAGATAGGTGGAGAGGAGACAGACAGGTCAAAGAGGCGGGGATGGAGCCAGTAAAGGTGAGTGTAGGTGGGGAGTTAGGGAGGGGATAGGTCAGTGCAGGGAGGACGGACAGGTCAAGGGAGCGGGATGAGGTTAGTAGGTAGGAGATGGGGGTGGGGCTTGAGGTGGGAGGAGGGGATAGGTGGGAGGAAGGACAGGTTAGGGAGGCGGGGTGAGCTGTGTGTGTACAGGCAGGTGGTTTATATGAAGCATAAGCACCTGACTGAAAATAATGATAAAGCAAGGGGAAGTTTCCTCTCCTAACTCCTCAGCAGATGGGAACCAGCCCAAGGGAGGATTCAGAATCTGAATCACACAATTCCCACTTTGGTGAAAGCCCCATTTACATGCACAAACCAAGTTTTTGTTGAATCAGTCACTCGGGTTGCACTGAGCAAATTAATAGCTCGAGATATATTGCTTGCAGCACAAGCACAATGGGCCAAATGGCCTCATTGGTTGTCATAATGTTCCACAATCCTATAGTAAGGAATGGATGAACATTTGAGAAGGAATATTAAATAATATGGGGATAGGACTTTTCCAGTTGGAGAGATAGCACACAAATGTTGGGCTGAATTGTCTCCATTTGTTAATCTCAGCAGATCTGGCAGCATCTGTGAAGGAAAAAAACAGAGTTAACACTTCAGATCCAATGGCCCTTCCTTGGGCCCGAAATGTTAACTCTGTTTTTTCCCTTCACAGATGATGCCAGACCTGCTGAGCTTTTCCAGCAACTTTGTTTTTGTTCCTGATTTACAGCATCCACAGTTCTTTCAATTTCCATTTGTTAATCTATGGTTATTTTTTGTCATAGACTTGGTCAGTACAATCAGCTTTAAACTTGTCGGATGGAACTAACAGGGAATTGTGTGATCTTATATTCTGAGTGGAAATTCCTTAGAAATTTTAATTGCAAATCTTTGATTTGCAAATACTTCAAATTCCTCTGGCAAGTGGGTCAGTGATCAGGGATTGGCAAGGAACCAGAGGGAAAATACAGAAATAGTAGGAACTGCAGATGCTGGAGAATCTGAGATAACAAGGTGTAGAGCTGGATGAACACAGCAGGCCAGGCAGCATCAGAGGAGCAGGAAGGCTGACATTTCGGGCCTAGACACTTCTTCAGAAAATATGAAGAACTGTTTTTACACAGAGTGCTGTTAAGGTTTGGAATGCACTACCTGAAACAGCGGACAAACCTGTTCCTCAGGAACTTCTAAAAGATCGTTTTAGTGAGGAGTTTTATTGCAGAGAGACTCATTTGCAGGCTATGGGGAGACAGCTGAAAGCTGGGTCTGAATTAAATCGCTCTTTCTAAGAGCTGAAACAGGCACAATGGGCTGAATGCTCTCATTCCGTGCTGTAACATTTGACGACACCATGAATCACAGACCCTAACCCTAGCACAGACAGACACAAACAGCATTACTTGACCTTATTTCAAGTTTATTCAGATACAAAACACCACCAACATTCAAGAGAATGCAAATACATGATCTTTTAGCACCACAGGCAGCAAACTGTCAGATATTTCCAGAGAGTCCGTTATCATTACTATAACTTGGAGAGAGCCAGAGATGAATGTGACTTACATTAGCATCAAAGGTCTGGAGACCAGTGTGTCATATAGTCATAAAGATGGAAAATGAGTTCAATTCCCACCCCGGCTGAGGTTAATATGAGGGACTCTCCTTCTCAACCTCTGCCCTCATTTGAGGCATGGTGACTCTCAGGTTAAACCACCACAAGTTGCGACTCTCTCTCCAATGGGGGACAGTCCTATTGTCTACAGTACAGTAAAAGGCCTCGCGGGCCACTGAGTTTGCACTGGTCAAAAACACCGACCTAACTATTTAATTTCTTCTCTGAACAGTCATCACCAGTGGATATGCTACTGACGAGGGACTGGGAAGTGGGAGGGGGTGAAGGGTTGGCTGGACCTCCAGCGGGAGCAGGTAGTGGGAATCTGGGAGTAGGGAAGAGGCCTGCACCAGGAGCAAGGCCTCCTTGAGCCTGGGAGTAATGGCTAGCATGAGATTGGGAATCCGCACAGGGAGTGGGAGAGAATGAACTCTCTCCATTCTATCTTCGAGGCTTTACACCCAGGCAGCACCATCATCAGCTGCTCTCCACCAACCAGAATGATGGCAGTTTGCTCTCAGCTCTTTGTGGATTCTGCAGATTGCAGTCATTGGAAACACAGCCAGAGCCTTTATCTAATCTATCGGCCATTCTACCACTAACCCCATCGTGATCTCAGGGCAACAGTAGCAGGATAGAGTAGGACAGAAATTAAGCTACTGCACCAAACACAGAAAGGGTAGGCCTAATAATCAGGCTTAATAGCTCCTCCACCACAGTTTGTGAAGCTGAAGTTAGTTTAAAACAGCGCTCCTCAAACTTTCTCCCACTGTGATCCCACATAAAGGCTTTAAAAACTGTTGCAACCCCTCAGATGTGTTGCAAGAGTGGGGTAAGAGGAGTGGGGTGGGGGTTGAGAGAGCAGGAACCCAGCTGTTATAACCTGGTCAGAACTCTATTGCTGTCTCAGCTCCAACCCCCAAACCTCACCTGGGGTCCCAAACCCCACTTTGGGACACACTGGTCAGAAACATTTGGAAATCGATAATTGGTAGGGAAAAAAGATCACAACAGTGTGAAAACACACTTGGTTCGCAGATGCCTTTCAGGGAAGGAAATTTACCAGTTTGGCTGATATTGAATTGACTCCAGGACATTCTTTAAATGAATCAGCAGCCCAGATTTCAATCAGACAATAAACATTTCTATAAAACAAAATACTGCAGATGCTGGAGAAACTCAGCAGATCTGGCAGCATGAGTGAAGAGAAAGCAGAGCTTTTAAAAGACATTTAGACAGACAGACACATGAACAGGCAGGAAAGAGTGAGATGCGGGCCACATACAGGCAGGTTAGTTTAGAATGACAGCATGGTCAGCACGGACATGGTGGGCCAAATGGCCTGTTCCTGTGCTGTAATGTTCTATGTTCTATATAACGTTTAGGGCACAATAACCCTTCTTCACTACTGCAAACATTAACACTGGATAAATGCTCACTGTAAAAGTAATTTGATTTCCTTTATAGTGGACTGGTGTAAACGTAAGTCTCAACAACGTTCTGCAAAGGGGCAGCTTAAAAAATGAGTTGGAAGAAAGGAATTGCATTTATCCTTTCACAGCCTCAGGATTCCCCAAATGGTTTACAGAGGTTAAAGGAAGAGTAGTCACTGTTGTAATGTAGGAATTGCGCACAATTTGCACACAAGTGTAGTCTACAGCACTGAAAGAGGCCCTTCAGGCCATCGAGTCTGTGCTAGTCAATAACTACCACCTTGTAGTGACTATAAGAAGGTAAGCCAGGTGGACCTCATGGAAAATGAGTTCCCTGTTATGGGCTATTAACCTGGTCCAATCAGGGAGCCCTGGCTGACATAAAACGATGAATGTCAGGCACTGTCAAAAGCTATGCATTTGTGAATAAAGGGTGATTGGTGGTAAGATGCCAGCCTTTTAAAACTTATTTACACCTAACTATTCTAATCCCATTTTGCAACCCACAGCCCAGTATATTTTGGCATTGCAAGTGAACATCTAAATACTTCCTAAATATTATGAGGGTGTCTGCCTCTCCTACTCTTACAGGCAGTGAGTTCTAGATTCTCACCAGCCTCTGGGTGAAAAAAAGGTTTTCAACAAAATGTGTATTTCTCACCCCATTGTTTAATCTTCTACATTCACCCAAGGGACAGATACAGTCTCCATATAAAGTCACAACCCAAATATTCTTAGCTAGATTTCTCATATTTCTCTTTTAAAATATTGCTTATTGTACAGGTCAGTGAAGGCAGTGCTACAAACTTGGTGGCTGAATGAGTTGTGAAATAATTGGCAGATCCATCATTTAACTGCAGAGTTGGCGGTACAGGGAACCGGAGACCAGTGCGTTCATTGCTCAGAGTTGGTTTATCGATTACTGCTGTGAACTATCTTTGATTTGTTTTCCCACAGCAGCACCAAGGACCAGCAACTGGATACAGTTCACCTCGTTCCGCGGCACTTTACGGAGAGAAGGGAATTCGACGGACAGTCCGTGTGGTACCAGTTGAGAGATTTGTCTGAATCATGGCTAATAGATTAAAACAAAAAGCATCACATCATTTAAACATTTCAAAAATTTGTCATGTCTAACTAGCTTCGGGCTCGTAGGTACTGCTCATTCAATCCAAGGTGCTTTCCTCAAAACTCAATTTACAGTAACATCGATACATTTCAGATCCTGCTACAGTCTCCTTTCTTCCACATCTCTCTCCACAATCATGTGGCACGGAGTCCATCATTATACATCCTGCTGTCTTGTTACACTGCACTAATCTGTCAAATTTGAACTACAGTTAACATCTGTGTCACACAAGAACAAGCAGAGACCATCTCCAGGTGGTCAGAGACTAGGAATCCTGCAGCGAGTATTTCACCTCCTGTCTCCCCAAAGCCTGTCCACCATCGACCAGTTACAAGTCAGGAGTGTGATCGAATACTCCCCACTTGCCTGGATGGGTGCAGCCCCAACAACACTTAAGAAGCTTGACACCATCCAGGACAAAGTAGCCCGCTTGATTGGCATCACATCCACAAACTCCATCACCCACTCCCTCCACCACCGATGCAGCAGTGTGTACTATCTACAAGATGCACTGCAGAAATTCACCAAAGATCCTTAGTCAGCACCTTCCAAACCCACGACCACTTCTATCCAGAAGGACAAGGGCAGCAGATACATGGGAACACTACCCACTGCAAGCTCCCCTCCAAGCCACTGACCATCCTGACATGGAAATATATCCCCCTTCCTTCCATGTCTCAAGATCAAAATCCTGGAATTCCCTCCCTAACGACATTGTGGATTAACCTACAGCACAGGGACTGCAGTGGTTCAAGAAGGAAGCTCACCACCACCTTTTCCAGAGTCATAACCACCAGTCTGATTCCAGGGACAACAGGACTGATGAATAGCGAGAGATTGGATCAGTTAGGACTATATTCACTGGAGTTTAGTCAATTGTTAATTTTCCCAGTGGCAGAAATCACAGGTTCTGAAGACACTGTCGAAAGGCAGGCAGGTTGCTGCAGTGCATCTTGTTAACAGTGCACACTGCTGCTACTGTGTGTGGTCATACAGGGACGGAACGTTGAGATTGGTAGGTGTGGTGCTAATCAAGTGGGCTGCTTTGTCCTGGATGGTGTCAAGCTTCTTGAGTGTTGTTGGAGCTGCACCCATCCAGGCAAGTGGAGATATTCCATCACACAACTGACTTGTTAGGAATTAGGTGGTGAATTACTTGCTACAGAATTCCCAGCCTCTGACATGCTGAAGATGATCAATGCATGGCATCTGTGTAGCACAAATAATACTTGCCACATATCAGCCTAAGCACAGATGTTGACCAGGTCTTGCTGCATTTGGACATGGACTGCTTCAGTATCTGAGGAGTCACGAATGGTGCTGAATATTGTGCAATCATCGGTGAACATCCCCACTTCTGACCTTATGATGGAGAGAAGGTCATTGATGAAGCAGCTGAAGGTGGTTGGGCCTAGGGTAGGGTAGGCCCTTGTAGGAGAATCTAAGACCCAAGGGCACAGCCTTAGAGTAAAGGGAAGACCTTTTAGAACAGAGATAAGGAGAAACTACTTCAGCCAGAGAGCGGTGAACCTATGGAATTCACTGCCACAGAAGGCTGTGGAGGCCAGGTCATTGAGTACACTTAAGACTGAGATAGATAGGTTCTTGGGGATCAAGGATTATGGGGAGAAAGCAGGAGAATGGGGTTGAGGAGCTTATCAGCCATTGAATGGTGGAGCAGACTCGGTGGGCTGAATGGCCTAATTTCTGCTCCTATGTCTTATGGTGTCATGGTCTTGGCTGTTCCAAACTGCAACAAGAGTTTCTGGTGAATGAGTTGGTCCCCGAAAGGTAAATAATAAACCATGGAAACTCATGGGATGGGTGTATGTTCACCGGGGAATGACAACTAGATTTTTTTTACATAGGGTTCTGTTGACTTTTTGATCTTTTATTACAGTGTCCCACCCAGGGATGTCTTACTTGTTTAATATTTATTTAAAAGTGGAAATACAACATGGAAACATCATTACAAGAAGAGTTGAGCCCATCCAGGAGCATCCCTTACCTGAGAAGTCCAGTTTGTACTTGCTGTTACCAACGTAGAAGATCACGCTGCTTTGCTGGTTCTGCAGGTATTCTGATTCAATCTCCTGACTGCTGACTGAACATTCGGTGTCTGTTCCTCTCTGAGAGACACAGGGCAATGTCAGAATGGCTACAGTGCCAATAGGCCTGGTAGGCCATGATCCTTATGTTGTCAACATTGTACAAGATCATCTCAGTCTGTTTGAGACCTGGTCTGCTGGCCAATCAGTTCAGGATAGCACCAGGAAACATCAAAACATCCAGTATAGTATGGAAAGATGGATCTGGAGGATGGTATTGGCTACCTCTCATGTTATTCTTTCATGGGATGTGGGCAGCGCTGGCAAGTCCAACATTTGTTGCCCATCCTTAATTGCCCTTGAGCCAAGTGGCTTGCTCAGCCATCTCGGGGGCAATTAGGACTCAACTATATTTGCGTGTGTCTGGAGTCACATGTAGACCTGATCGGGTAAGGATGGCAGATTTGCTTCTCTGATGGATATTAATAGACTAGATGGTTTCATGGTCAGCACTAATAAGACAAATGTTAAATTCCATTAATAAAATTCAATTAAGCTTGAATTCAAATCCCCAGGACATTAACCTGAGCCTCTGGATTGCTCATCCACCATCTTACTGACCCATGGTCAGTCCAGTGCCAATTGGTTACCTTTCACATTGCTGCTGGATTGAATTGAGCGAGACTGACAACTCAGAGACTGATACCCTTTATCAACCTCCAAGTAAAGTGGATGACAAATAACGTTCACAGTGTAAGAAGTCAGGCAAGCAGTAATGTGTATCAGGAAAATGTTGGCACATTGGGCTGAAGATCAGCCCCTAGTGTTTGGTTCTGAATGAGGGATGCGGATGTGGAGGTGGAGGCTCGTGATGACAAACGCAGTGTCAAAACTCTGATAGTCTGCTTCTCCTTGGCTGGAGCTCAGTCCTCACTTCCTCCCATCCCTCTCCCAGAACAATCTTCTTGGGGCGTTTGCACATTCTCCCCGTGTCTGCGTGGGTTTCCTCCGGGTGCTCTGGTTTCCTCCCACAGTCCAAAGACGTGTAGGCCAGGTGGATTAGCCGAATACCGGGATACAGTAGGGCGGTGGGTCTGGGTAGGAAGCTCTTCGGAGGGTCAGTGTAGACAGATGGGCCGAATGGCCTGCTTCCACACTGTAGCAATTCTACAAACCTGTACATCATAAGCTGTGACCGGGATACTATGTTCCATTGGTGCCACTTGACAGAACACTCTGGGGGCTACATCGTGTGAGGCCTTTGTATTTACACACTGGGAGAGAGTGGGTGTAATCACTGGCAGACGATGGTTCAGCTTTTATTGATCATAGTTTCCCCAAAACAGTCCCTTACCCGCTTCTTGTAGTCGAACCAGGTCCCATGGTTTCCTGAAAACTGCCAAATGTATTGCTGTCGCTGCTCAGAGAGGTTCAAATGGTTCATCGAATCAGAAAGACTAAGCATCACCAAACAAAAATACAGGTTTTCAATGCATTGCCTGGGATGTAAGCCCTATTCATACACAGAATAAAAAAAAACTCCACTTCAAAACTAACCAAGTGCCCAGTGGCGGGCACCAGTTTGCTCAGTTGGCTGGATGGCTGCTTTGAACCACAGAGTAATGTCAACAGCGTGGGTTCAGTTCATGTTTTTCCACCCACATGAAGCTGTCATCATCTCAACCCATTGAAACATCACAAACTCTG